AAATACTGCAATCACTTTTGGACGATCCATGTTTGTAGCCTGAAAATTACAAGAAAACTGAAAATCTACAGTACATAAAATCGAATCATGTTTTTCCCGGTTATTATTGTAACCAGCTAGGTTAAGTATATTTCATCGTGCATTTCATGTCCATAGTGAAGGTCTAACAAGTGAGAAAAAATATCCCAATGTCTATTTCCTCAGAAATAACTTTTCAGTACGAAGGAAATCCAGTAATTGAGCATATTATATTCGCCGTTAACAATCGTCTTAGAAAGTTTGAGTCGCTCGTCTATATACTATTCAGTTCACATGATTATTCCTTAGGATTTTTCTCCAAACTTTCCTCATAACCCATTTTAGAAGAGCTGAGCAATACATTGTTCAGAGTGGATCCCGGCGGTCGACTTCTTGCCAGGCCTAGTATTGGTGGTTCCCGCGCACGTACCGAGACGCTGGTATCATCAGCGACCAGTCAGGCCGGTGTCCTCGACCCCAGTGATGTGCCAATATTTGATTATCGTTTTGGGGAGACGTTGTTGCAATTAATAAGTAAAGTGCTACGAATAAACGTCAGGTTTGTCTAAGCAACATCATAGCAATTATTACGAATTCTGATGGCTTAACTCTTACCTGATATGTGGGTAAAATGATGTCGGCTGCACGCTACACGTCAACACAACTGCAGTAGCTGATGTCGAAATTGTAACGGTCATTTGGCTTGCTGAGCTGACCGCGCGATCGTGATTCAAGAGTGTACATGAAAACTATTGGCCAGCGTCACAACCTTGGAATGTGGTTACAAATTACGCGCCATGTGATTGGCTAGCATCACAGCTTTGTCGTGCTGACAAATAATATGCGGTCTTAATATATGTTATCATAAAAAGACTGAGACGCATACAATTGAGTTGGCCATTTAAAAAAAATATTTCTTCACATGATATTTTACACTTTGATAGTTAAAATTATTCGTAATTGATATGATGTTGATGCATGTTCCCTAAGGACAATTAATACTCAGTTTCAAAGCAATGCATGGACATTGTTTCATATAACACATGGAATTTAGGTTTCAATATCGTGACACAATTTAAACTTTTATTCATCGTCAGATTAATGTCAAAATGTGTACGGTGGAACAACGTACGTTACTAAATCGACGTTGAATAAACATGGAATTTTGGTTGTTAATATCGTGACGCAATTTGAACTTTTATTCGATGTCAGATTAATGTCGAAATCTGTACGTTGGAACAACGTTACCAAATCGACGTTGGATAGACATTGAATTTAGGTTGATAATATCGCGACGCAATTTGAACATTTATCCAACGTTGGATTAATGTCGAAATATGGACGTTGAAACAACGCTACAAAACTGACGTTGGATAGACATTGAATTTAGGTTGTTAATATCGCGACGCAATTTCAACATTTATCCAACGTTGGGTTAATGTCGAAATATGGACGTTGGAACAACGTTACAAAACTGACGTTGCATAGATATTGAATTTTGGTTGATAATATCGCGACGTAATTTCAACATTAGTCCAACGTTAAAACAACGTCAAACTGTAACATAAAATCAACGTCGCAAATGACGTTGAAACAACGTTGTTTTACGGTATTTCGACGTCGTGACGTCATTTCAACCAACATTCAACGTTGAAATAACGTTGTGTGCCCACTGGGCACTTTTAACAGCGCCCCCTATCAGAAGATGGGGTCCAGCACTACCCCCCCCCTTCCATTTTTTTTGCGGAGCTCAGCAATAGAGAGCAGCGACACTCTTGTTTATCCAATCAATTCATTACTTATTCTATAGCAGTAATCCTGATCCTTTCCATAGATCACGTAAATTGAAAACATAGTTTCCAACCCATAGCGCCCTCTACTGTGCATGCTCAGAATGGAATAGCATTCCTAACTGGGGAAATTCACTTCATTTTCTCGTTCTGCAGCTGACAACATCCTGGTCCTTCCTGGAGTTTGGGTTCCTAAGCTGATCGACTTTGGCCTGTCCAGGGAACAAATCGCCGGTAAGGGAGTTTCTGTACTTTGATTTCAAAATAACTTAATAGCATATAAGATATCTATGGGAATAGATATCTTCTCTCTCTCCAACTTTTTTCTCCATACTTTCCTTTGTAGCCCGCACTTGAGTGGCCCTCTGGCCTTGTGATGGGCGATTACCATTAAAAAAAAAGAAGAAAATTGAGGGGCAAATCCTCCTTGCTTTCGGCAGAAGCTGAATTGCAAGGACACAGCTACAACGTGGTTGAGCCAAAAGCATGTAAAGGCACCTTAGGCAGTTGCCATACAACCTATGTCTGACAATGGAGCACAGCCAGATCAAAAGTGTTGATTTTTGCGGATTATGAAAACCGATGAATTGAAAAATCATTGTGGAACAAGAGAGAATCAAACAATTCTACTCACATATGACCCAAGCCAGGAATAAAACCTTGCTCATACAGTAGCAGAGAGAGGTGAACACTTCATGCACTATGCCACCCATTGCACCCGCTACACATACACATTGAGCAGTACTTTCTCGCACATGGTACTGGATCATGCGGATGTCCCAAACTCTTGAACATTGTAATTAGGTTACAAAATAGTCTGGTGCCTGGCCATGCTCTGAAATCAGTGTTTACTTATTTATGCAATGTCCATGGTACAGACACACTGATGACACACATTATGAACTTTTTGAAATTTTTATCTTTTTGAGGGTCCAGTTTTCATAGCTTTAATTTAATATTTAAAGAAATGAACAATAAAAATAATGATTTAATTATTTTTATGTTGATTTAATTTATTAATAAATAATTTAATTAATTATGTGTCTATTTTAATTCACTTTTTGGAGATATTTTTGTTGAAAACACTGACAAGATTGCTTCAGGATAAAGTTTAAAATGTATGCACATTGTTGTTTATGACATTCTGGTGCAAAGAACCGAAAATTCTATTGCGGACCAGTGAAAAGGCCCGCTGGCTAGATAAGAGTCTGGTTCACTAGTCCAGCTGACTAGTGAAAAAAATGTAAGGGCGAACCCTGCAAGGCCTTCATCTTGATTTGTTTTGTTTCAAATGAATTCAGAAAGTCAACACTACAGTATGGACATTTCCGACTTGGGCTGCACCTTGGAATGCATGATCAAAAGCATCCGCAAGTTCGATGTAAGTTCTAAGGGCAGTAAAATGATACCGGCCAAAAAACCTCATGCAATGATGACGGCTTTGCAACTGGTTCTCAACCAGATTTACTGCTGAGCACTTTAATTATACAAAGAACATATTCTGCTTTTTAACAGGAAAAGGTGTGTTTACCAACGCAAATGCCCCACCACTGTATGTCTAGTCCCATGATATGGCACCACCTTTTGCATATCAAGTTTCCTGGGGGCTAACAGGGATCACCAAGTCCAACCCACATACTAAGTTTGAAGTTATGTCAAGTTCTCAAGTTATGGTGGGTAAACTGATTGCTTGCATGCACACATGCTTGTTCCATAACTGTGGGGACCACACACGTGTTGCCCCATGGTATTATGGGGACCAAAGACGCTATAGGCACAGCAGAAAGCCCCCATAACACGTCCCTATCAATAAAAACTTCCCCATGACACGGTGACAGCCCGCCCAGCCTTACACACATGTACCTGTGGGGAAGACTTTTGTTTTTCGTTGCTCCTATTGAATCTCTATGGCGTTTTCCTTATGGGGCAGATAGATTTCTAAAGACTTACTTGTGGGGTCTATTGTTCTATTGTGTTTACTGCCCCATAAGGAATCATATACATGTATATACTCACACTAATTGACAGTACACCGGCAACTTCATACTACAATGGCACCACTGCATTCTGTGCCACATCGAGCAATACTCACCATGTGCAAGCCAATCTCCATATAAAGAGATGTTTACGAATACTCGTGAGAGGCACATAGCAAGAGGCACATAACATAGCTAGAGGGGTGTTTGAATGAAACCTTTGGATTTTTTATTTTTGACTTTTTTTGACTTGTGGAACCAAAGGTATTTATGAATGGGAATAAATATGTGCTTGTCCAGTATTAAACAAGTATGTTTAAAACCGGCTCAGGGCCTAGATGTGGATTTGCTGGAGCGCTGATCAGATCCCTGAGCCGGTTTTAAAGCCGGTTTTAAAACCAGCCAATCGCATATTTATTCCCTTATTGATGGTCTTAACAAAATGGACAGTGAGTACTGAATTTTCCTATCCAGCCTTACGGTTGCGAAGGCTTTGCGTCATGCGTTGATAAGCAAAGTTAATACATGGACACCACAGACAGAGCAGTGAACTGATAAACATCGCTTTTTGAACGGTCTGTTTTTCAAAAAATATACTCAGTATGAAGGAATCGTAAACTTCATGTCAGTAAAAAAAATCACCGTTATTGATGCAGAAACGTCAATACTTGACCTAAAAGTTGTGGAAAAATCGTTTGAAAAGGTCCCCAAATCTAATTACTTATCTCAATTCCTAGGAATCCTTTCAAATTGTCATTTCACGAGTAGAAAACTTATATCATCTAAGTACATGTATATTCCCAATTTCAGCTTAATATGTTGTTGCAAACGCTTGTGTTACAACATGTACTATCACCAGGTTAAATTTTGACTCGGATTTCTCAGTGCCGAGCGAAACAACACATGGTCAATACCACTGCCGAATACGACTGCCAATGGAAGCCCGCCAAAAAGGTTGACACAAAAATAACTCGTGAAGGAGGGGTCGTACACATTTTTACTGCACATCATATATGGATAGGAACCTTATTGATATTAGTGAGGCTTGAAAAGATTGACAGATATGTCAAACATAATTTGTTACAGCTTTGAAAAATGGATGTACCCTAGCCTTTTTTTTCCAATTTTAATAAAAAATACTGAACATATCGAAACAATTTTTAGCACATACTTGGATCATTATAAGGGAAACAAACTCCAAAAGTGGCATGAAGATACGGTCTTCAAAACGGGAGAAATTGATGTTCTAAGATTTTGCCCGCGAACATCAAAATATATGTGTTGTAAAGGTTTTCACTTGATGTCAGAGGTCACACACCAAGGTCAAAGGTCTTTCTTTAACGATAATCGTGAAAGCAGGCGAGACACGCAGTTCGAGAACCGACTTGTCATTGTTGGTGATCAGTTAGACATTGCCTCGGGCAATACTTTGGATTCCCAGGTACAAAGCAGTTTGACCTTTACTTCTGGTCACACCGGAAGTGCAGTGAAAATTGAATATAACTTGAAAATGGAAGCAATATTTAATACAGACAGACAAATTATGGAAGTGCTGCTAAGTGAGGAACGTCAATCACAAAAAACAGCATGATGATGTCAACACTCAAAAGGACGCCCTCTAGCGACACAACAAACAGTGTTAAACTTTTTTAATTTAAAAAGCATTTCTCACAATTTTACCAAATTTCCCCTGGATATTCTTTAAACAACCACAAATGACTTAACAAGGTTTCAGAATCATGACGTCTTTAGATCGGAGTGACTGTAATTTGAAAATGAAATGATTATTTTTTTAAAATTCAAATCCATCATTCGACCCATGTTTAATGACTATGTTCGTAGCACCATTAATGATGTCCCGTACAACGTTGACCTTGCGCTTCCAAATGCCGTGATGTCATCAAACTTGAAGTTAGGTGTCATTAATACATTCATTTAAACATTCATTATAATTTTCATATTTTTAGAAGTTTTTTCACTTCATGGTGAACATGTATCCTCTCTGAACTAAATCAGCATTCAGTTTGCACATTTTTACTGATGACGTTATGAAACCAGAAATAACGTGTACATGTACATAAAGTGTATATTGAAATCTATCATACTCCAACGATAAAAGATCATACGATAAAAGATGCCCCTTTTTTTCCAAGTGAAACAAATCGTTTTACTGGAAGGCTGAATTTCGTGGTCCCTTTTCTGTTGTGACATAAAACTATTCACAACTGGGTTATGTCCTATGAAATAGTTTTCAGCCCAATCACCCAGCGTTTGTAACTCAACAAAGTTTTTCTGTACATCTCTGTCAATTTGAAAAGAATGGGCTATCGTCCCGCAACATGCATTCCAGAGTCCGTCGCTTCATTGTTCAGATGGTCAATAGAGAGCTGACAGCAGCCCAAGCCTTAAAAACCGGTGAGTAATTTTCACCTGTTTACTCTAGCTACACATCCTGTCAAAGAGAGAAAAAAAGATGCCGTTTTCAAACCTTGGCATTCTCTGATTTTAGGCTACATCACTGGCACCAGAACCTTTTAAAGCTGTTAGTGCTTGAACCAAATGAACAGGTTCCACAGTTTGGCTTTGTATTGCAAACTTCCGATGCTCCTGTACCACAAAAGGAATGGAGCCAGTGTCGCCTAGAGATCAGGATCATGAAGCTCTAGCCTGAAGGCAACCTTGATGACAAAACCAACATTTGAGAAATGGCTGAGGATTTTTTTGAGGGGAGAAGACAGTCCTGGTTAATATTCATTAGATGCAAAGAAGCATCATGCCGGGTGGGGGAGGTTCACAAATACCCATATAATGTTAGGCATGGCTCGGTATGGCCAGCCACGGTAAACAAACCTCGTGCCAGACAATTTCAAACTAGGAAACCAGTGTACTTTTTACATTTTTGAAATGTGTGATCCAACAAAATTAGTCACTGAATTCACTTAAGCTGCTTTTAAGTACAATCCTGTCATATTCGGTGTTAGCATGAAATGTTTCTTAAAAAAAAACGAAAAACTTTTTCAACAGTAAAGGATCTCCGCAGCACCGTTGATGAACATGAATAACCACCGACTGTGCATAACCACCGACGCTGAAACCAGAAGAGATGAAAAAATGTGAGTCAGTTAATAAACTCCACGCACGTAAAACAACACAGCTTCTCAGGCCAATAGTAACTCAATTTAAGGTAGCGTATATCGGTTGCAGCTGTCCAAAAAGTAACTGACAGAATTATTGTTGACAATCTTACTTGGTTTAAAGATAAAGACAGTGGGCCGTGAGGTTTGTATCCCTTTAGTTTTTAAGTTTAATGACCACTATCTGGGGTGGGGGTGAAAAGTTGATAAAACGGGGCCCAATACCCTTCTAAGCAACATACTTTTTTTCACAGTCGCAAATGTTGCACATTAGCGAGAACCGCTGCCCTAAAGTATCAGTAATTGACACCATGTGTATGTTATAAAAAAGCCCTACAGTATCCGGTAACATCAAGTGTATGTTATAATTCAAAAATGTTTTTAGACCATTAACAATAACAAAGTATTTTATATTTCAGTTGAAATTTCATTCTGGAAACAGTTTTATTGCTTATGACGCCCCCCCCCCACGAAATGTTCCAGCGCCCCCCCCCCCCCTGAAAAATTCCTGGCTACGCCACTGTATCACAGAAATGTGGAACTCCGTAATAGGCTATTGCGGAAACGCGGAATACTGTGATAGCTTATCACGGAAGCGTGGAATATCGTTATGGCCTAACACAGAAACATAGAAAACGGTGATAGACTATCGTTAAATCGTGTCATTCCGTGACGAGCTATCGTTGTGATAGGCTAACGATGGCATTTAGCTTTGCCAGGCTAACGATATCAATTCATTTCGCTTTGCCACGATAAAACATCACGAAATTATATGTTGTTGTATTCCACGTTTTCGTGATTGGCTATCACAATATTCCCCGTTTCCATGATAGCATATCACGGAATTCCACTTATTCACGATAGCTTATCACGGAATGCCACGTTTCCACGATAATCTTCCACGGATTTCCACGTTTCCATGATAGGCTTTCATGGAATTCACCGTTTTCATGATGGGCTATCGCTGCAATCCAAGTCGTAAAGATATTTCATGATGGAACTCCATGTTTCCAAGATATTTTATCTCAGTAACTCAGTAACTCTGATGGTCATATACGCTTCTGTATAAGGGTCACCTTGTGAACTTTTTTTAAGGTTACAACTGGTGGTGAAGAACAGTCAGTGAGGCCCTCAGCTTCATATAGGACAAACCTGTAGAACATGCTACAAAAACCCCTTGATTAAGTGATAGGTACCAGTGGCATGAATATTCAAGTTTCATTGGTCAATGTACAGATATCATGGTTCATTGTGCAGATTTATTGGAGGATGCCTAGCCAATGAGATTAGCTCCATGTCCATGAGCAAGTTACATTACAGCAATTGCAGACTGGTTGTCAGTGTTTTTATACACCAAATGGCAGCATTTGACCTGGATACATGAAACCCTCATGGGCTTGACGAGCAGGGGTAACAATGGCACAGTACCAGAAAAATGTGCACAGCACAAATCCTGGGTTTGCAGTAAATTGTCATGTGCGATGACTTTTCAACACTGTAAGTTTGAAATCCTTGTTACTAATTTACTCTTATGTACAGGTGAATCTCAATTGACGGAAGAATGGAACTGCCCAGAGCACCAGCACAGCTGTCTCTAGTAGGTTTTAATCTCGCAATAGGGTGCAGTTTTTATGGAGCCACTAAGCAGGAAATGTTGGCTTAGGCCAAAAAAAAAAGTCTCCGGTTTCTGGTATGGAGCTTGCCCAAAAAATGGTGCGGCGACGGGGCTTTTTTTTTTTACCTGATTTTTTTGCTTTAAATGTCGGCTGATGACTGCAAATGGTGCCTGACTAAACTTAGTGCAAATATATGGGAGTCCAAAGAGGCCACATAAAGCTTATTCTCGACCATAACCCAATCTAAAAACACGTTAAAATTGTGCAGCAGCAGGATTCCAGTCAAACCAGTGAGTTTTGCGGTTTTGAGACATCATCTTTCATTGAAATTTTTTTTTTCATTTTGCCGACGCGCATGGCTACGGCGATGCGTGCGCATTCCAGAAACCGGAGAATTTTTTTGGGGGCCTTAGCAGATTTATGTGGAAAAAATATAAGCCAAGTAAAGTTAATGTTAAAGTTAATGTTAGACGTCCTCATAAGTAACGTGTACAAATATACAAGGGTGGATCCAGAACACAATTTTTTGGGGGGGGCCAAAAAAAATTTTGGTCCCCCAAAAAAGTGGGTCAAAAAAATTACGGTGTGGGGTTCGGGGCCCGCTTAAGGGCCCCGAAAAATTGTTGGATTCTAGATGCTCTGTGGTGCGATCTGAGGCATTTTCTGACCACTTTAACCAATTTTTTGGGAGGAAAAGATGGTGGTGTACTCATTGCCTGCCTTTATTGCAATGTCACATAAAAAAAAAAATTGGTTTCGTTTTTGGGGGGGGGCATGGCCCCCTTTGGCCCCCCCCCCCTGGATCCGCCCTTGCAAATATAATGTTATACATGAATTTGAAGTACTCAGATATCTTAAAGGTTCTTTAAAGAATATTTATGCAATGTAATGATGTATTTTATAGTACGCGGATATACGTATTTCAAAGAATATACAATGTTAATGATATATTTTATATAGGTTTTCCCGTCCAATTTCGCACTTAGTGCATGCAAAAGTAAAGATAGGTCATTCAATTTCGCACATAGTGCATGAGAAAGTATAAATAGGTCATTCAATTTCCCGGATAGGGCAGCCAAAATCACCAATCGGCAATCAAATTCGCTATGGGGCAGCCGAAATGGCCAATCGGCATTCAAATTCGCTACAGTGCAGCCAAAATGGCCAACTGGCATTCATAATCGCGTTAGGGCAACCAAATTCGCCAATCGGCATACGAATTCGTACATAGTGCAACCAAGTTCGCCCTTGAAACCCCCTCGAGCTAAGTTGGAGCATTCTATTTCGCCATAGGGCATCCAATTATACAATTTGTGCATCCAATTTAGCACATGTACTTTTTTTCTATTTTTTTTTTTTATAGCTTTCTCATGTTTATGTCTTCTTCCACTTTATGAGCTTGCTTTGTCTATATTAAGTCGCCGAATTCAAATCATATTTATCGGATGGCCCAAAGGCATACGAATTAACAGAGGGAAAATGTCCTTACATTTCCCTCTGTTAATTCATATGTTTTTTGTTTAATCTTTGTAAATTTTCCTTCATAATGTATATTTTCTTGTGGTCATTTGCACCATCTCTTTAATTATATGCATTGACCAGAGACATAAATCATAGCATGTATACAATATCATGATTTTCTTCTTTCATATTGTATATATATATGTACTTTTTGTGTTTTTTATCTTGTATCTGTTTTCATATGACTTTAATCATTTAAAACAATCTTTCATCACAACTTAAGACATTGATTACGGTTTTCTTCCCTTATAATAAGTCTTTGTTGAACCTTTTATAATCTGTTTAAAACATAATTATAACTAAATGTATATACCTAATATGATATCGCAACTGCAGATGGTTATATAAATTTTACTGATCTTTGGTAGGAAATTTAAATGTTAAAGTTCAAAGCTCAAAACTCAGTCATTTTTTCAGCCATTGATGTCTGCCAATATAAATTCTCAAGCTGCTGATAATTATATGTGGAAAGCAAAAGGTGAAATGCAAAGAATGCATTACCAAAGGAGATGAAAGAAATATATATACAATTTGCGCCAAGGCGCTGGTGAGGAACAAAATAACTTGCTCAATAAGCAGGCCAATGCTTCTATAATTTACATTTCACCTCTAGGAGACAAAACAAATACAAGTATCGAAGCCCAGGCATCTGTAAAATAATGTAAATTGTCCAGTGAAGTTTTATGAATGGTCACTGGTGGCACACATATTGCAGGTTGGGAAAAACGCGCAAAGAATATTTGAATATGTATTACTGTATACAAGTCATGTAAATACAGTGCTAAATTGAATGCACTAGTTATGAACATGAATACCCTATAGCGAAATTGAATGCTCTATCTTTAGTCACGTGTCCTTCCGTGCTAACTTGAATGCAATATGGCGAATCTGAATGCTGTTTTTACACTTTTGATTGCTCTATGGCGAATCTGAATGCCCATTATGAATTTTTGGCTCCCGTATGGTGATTCTGAATGACTGTTTTTCTTTTTTGACTGCCCTATGGCGATTTTGAATGACTACTTTGAATTTTTGATTGCCCTATGGTAAAATTGAATGAACTATTTATACTCTTGCATGCACTAAGTGCGAAATTGGACGGGAAAACCTATAGTACGCAGATATCTTAAAGGTACATGTTACAATAAAAAATGCAACATTTACATATTTTCTAGCTTAGCTAAGAAATAGTCTACAGTCGACTCTCGTTAGTACAAACTCTGTTAATACAAAATTCTGGTTATAACAAACATAAAGCCTTAGTCCCGACTGTGCATTTATGTGCACAATGAATGGGACTGATGTTCCTCTTAATACAAAATTCTGATAGAACAAACAATTTGGCTAGGTCCGAACGAGTTTGTTTTAACGAGAGTCGACTGTATATTAACAGAGTTTAATAACACTAGAAACACTCATTGATTGGTAAATGATTCTTAATTACTTGATGATCAGCTTATCATTTCAGTGTTGGAATAATGTTTGCAAGTAATGGTTTCATGACCAACTAGAAAGCACTCAGAGAGCGCAAACCTCCGCCAAGGCTAAACAATTCCCCGCCATATTGTCAGCACATCCAATAGAAATACTCGCATAAATGGGGAAGAATCCTTAAAACAATTCTAGATCCAGACCTAGATATTGCATTTTTTAAATTTTACAAACCTTGAAATAGAGTGGAAATTTGGTACGTGAAAAGTACATCACGCCCTTATTTAATTTCTGAGTATTTGTCAGTTAAATTATCAGTGGGACTACTGAATGTCAATCTGTTACGGTGGGCCAACCCAGGAGTGTAACAAATGCCATGATTTTAGGATCAATTTTTTGTTTTGTCATCATTTTACTAAATAATTTACTTACATATTATTGAAATGTACATTTGCGTTTATCTTTGTTTGCCTTCCATCCTCATTGTTTGTTACGTTCATGTTGTTGTGTTTATAATCCAGTTGTTTGTGTTTATCATCATGTTAATCTTGGGATCCGTACCCACAAGTTAGGTTTTTTTTAATTGATTCCGCATCTCAGACCGTGACAGATTCTCAGACCGTGTTCAGACCGTGACAGATTATAACTCGGTGAAGACAGAGTGTACATCTTACATGCACCGCGTGTTTGATTGCTCTAATGAGGCATTCCTCTTTATTGTTATTAGGGACATCTTGTTGGAAAATAATATGCACTTTTGTCAATATGCAAGTTAAAAATTAGTTCTGAATAAATTAAAATGCAGTATCTTATGCTGTTTTTTTGTTTGTTTTACCTTGTCCTTTTATGCCTCACAATACTTTTTCAAACAACTAGATTTCTCAAATAATGATTCATGAAAGATTTTTTAAAAAGTCAATATTTTTTAGCCATAAGTGGATTATTGAGGAAGAAATTCTAATTTTGGACTGATTAACCACCAGGTATTTTTAGAACTGTCCGGGAATAAAACTAGAACTACCGAGGTAAAGGTGTGTGGTGTTTTTTTTTGGGGGGGGGGGGTCCCCTAGTTTTGCCAAGCAGACGGCCAGTTCCATGCATCGTTTTGATGAATTCACTCTGCAAGGTATAGGCCTACATTTGGATTTTTCTGCCCTTCTTAAAGATATCCAAATGATATCCAAATATCCAATTAAGCTTTGGTCTCTTAATCATCTTTAATTTTCCTTCAATAGAGGGCGCCCTCACAAATAGTTATCATCACCGTAAACGAATTATAATATTGTCAATAGTTGGCTTTTATACCGACTTTGGGTCAATGCAATTGTCCAAACGCATTAATACTTTATTGGGTTAATTTAACTGTCCTGAGCAATAGTTAATCGGAATGTCAAACTAGTACGAGTTAGATTCCAGGAACGAGCGGGGTTTTTTTTGAATGAGGAAGATTTTCTCTGCAATGGGACTGCATGATTTGGGAAGGTTTTCTCTGACAGAACTTCATGCAAAACCCATTCCAATTCCCTTTTCAAAAGTAATAACAAAACCCATTTCCTATTTTTATTAAGAAATTTAGGTGAGAAACTTAACCAAAAAAAATTATATTAACAAATACGGAAAGATTGTTGCATGACTTGCATCCTGACGGCGACACTTTTTTTTAGCTTTATTATGAAGGTCATTGTAAAAATGTTGAAAATTTATTAGAAAATACTATGAAAAATGCAGGCAACTCTCCATAGACTTTGTACACCGTGAGCCGGCGTCTGGTTACTACATTCCCTTTCCAAAAATACATAAAAAGACCAGCGGGAAACCGTTGTGAAAAAAACACGGGTTTTTTTATTGGGAAAATGGTGAAATGAATTTTAGGGGTGGACCCGTCAAACATTAATAGGTGGAGCACCACCGTGAAATACAGAGCGGTAACTGGTTCCCGCCTCATAAGCGTTAAAAAGGAAGGAAGGAACCGAAACCAACCTGACTGCTTTAACACGTGGTGTATTTTTCCATTCATTTATTCGCGGGCCGGGCACGGAGAAAGAGTCACTGGATTTTTGACCGACCGTCTGCAGAAGTTTGAGCAAAGTTTAACCATTTTTAAGCAG